CAAAGGAAAACAAAAGAAGCAGTATGGCCTAGTGGCTAAAGGCACCGAGGTAGAAACCAGGAGACCACGGGTTCTAATCCTGCCTTAGGCACAATCCCAGCTGGGTGATCCTAAGCCCCTTCCTCTCTCTCTGTCTCTCAGCCCTACCAAGAAGGGGGGGGGACAAATAGCTTCTGAAAACGTTGCGAGGAAAATCACAGGGTCACCAGGAGTGAAAACGAGCTCAAAGGCAAGCAAAATAAAAAGAAAGGAAAAGCAAATCATAGAAAGAGGAGAGTCAGTTTTTACCCTCTCCCCCCCCCCCCGCAACAACAAACCAAAACCATCCATCAAAGCCAGTTATGCTCATTAATGTATTACAAGCCCCTGACTTGAGACTTTCATAAATATGCAACAGGGCTGCTGCGTGGCTCAGCCTGCTGGCCGGTCTGAATGGACAGAGGCCTGGTTTCCGAGGCTGCAGGAAGGAGACACGCCAAGCAGAGCTGGCCTTAAGGAATAGGCTCTACTGCTGCTTGTTCCATAGGAAATGATAGAATGGACTGTACCTTGATGGAAAGAAAGAAAGAAAGAAAGAAAGAAAGAAAGAAAGAAAGAAAGAAAGAAAGAAAGAAAGAAAGAGGAAGGAAGGAAGGAGGGAGGGAAGTAAGAAAGGTAGGAAGAAAGGAGGAGGAACAGGGAGAGAGAAAGGGATGAAGGAAGAAAGGAAGAAGAAAGAAAGAAAGAAAGAAAGAAAGAGCAAGCAAGGAAAGAAGATAGGAGAGAGAGGAAGGAGGGAGGGAGAGAGAGGAAGGAAGGGAAGGAAGGAAGGCAGGAAAGAAGGAGGAGGGAGGGAGAAAAGTAAGAAAGGTAGGAAGAAAGGAGGAGGGAGAGAGAAAGGGTTGAAGGAAGAAGGGAAGGAAGAAAAGAAAGAAAGAAAGAAAGAAAGAAAAAGGAAGGAAGGAAGGAGAGAGAGAGGGAGGGAGAGAGAGAGAGGAAGGAAGGGAAGGGAAGGAAGGAAGGAGGAGGAGGAAGAAGAGGGAGAGAGAAGGGGATAAAGAAGAAGAGAAGGAAGGAAGAAGAAAGAAAGAGAAAGGAGAAGGAAGGAAGGAAGGAGGGAAGGAGGGAAGAGGAGGGAGGGAAGGAGAAAGAGCAAGGAAGGAGGGAAGGAGGGAAGGAGGGGAAGAGGAGGGAGGGAAGGAGAAAGCAAGGAAGGAAGGTAGGAAGGAAGAAAGAGGAGGAGGGAGAAAGGGAGGAAGGAAGAAGGGAAGAAAGAAAGAAAGAAAGAAAGAAAGAAAGAAAGAGTAGGAGGGAGGGAAGGAGGGAGGGACAGAGAAAGGGAAGAAGGAAGAAGGGAAAGAAGGAAGGGAGGGAGGGAGGAAGGATCCTTAATTCAAGCATGTTAGAAAGAAAGGTCCAGCCCTATATCACCAACATTTAACCTGGCTAATTCTAGGGGAAAGTCAATATAATTTCAAAGAGGAAACATCTTCAGAATCAAAGCAAACCACAGTTCCGTATCTTGTAAATCTGACAGATCAGCAAGAAGCAGAAAAATGTTTTTTCTCTCTCTCTCTAACAAATCGGTGAAGAAATGCAACCGGACCAAGCAGGCATTTCACGGCCTGCTGCCTTCTCTGGTGGGAAGCTCCCTCTTGGGGTTTCCGTGGAGATCCCAATCCAGAGACGAGCAGAACTGGGGCGACTGGGAAAGCATGAAAAACCCGGGTGAATCCCATCCAATCGCTCCGCTCCCTGCGCTGGCGGCTGAGAAAACAGACATGGGAAACTTCAACGGTCAGCCCAACGGCAGGGGAATTATGTGAGATCAATTGAACGGCTACATTTAAGTACGTCAGGGGGGGAGGAAAAGGGGGAGGGGAAAGAAGGAAAGGAAAAGAAGGGAAAGGAAAGAGGATGGGAAGGGAAGGGAAGGGAAGGAAAGGGAAGGAAGAGAGAAGGAAAGGGAAGGGAAGGGAAGGGAAGGGATGGGATGGGATGGGATGGAATGGGATGGGAAGGAAAAGAAAAGAAAGAGGATGGGATGGGAAGGAAAGGAAAGGAAGAAGGAAGGAAAGGATGGGAAGGAAAGGAAAGGGAAGGGAAGGAAAGGAAGGGAAGGGAAGAGAAGGGAAAGGGATGGGATGGGATGGGAAGGATAGGAAAGCAAAGGAAAGAGGAAAGGAAAGGGATGGGATGGAATGGGAAGGGAAGGGAAGGGAAGGGAAGGGAAGGGAAGGAAAGGAAAGAGGATGCAAAGGAAAGGAAAGGGATGGAATGGGAAGGGAAAGGAAGGAAAGCGAAGGAAAGGAAAGGAAAGGGATGGAATGGGAAAGGAAGGGAGGGAAAGGAAAGGAAAGGAAGATGAAGGGATGGGAAGGGAAGGGAAGGGATGGGATGGGATGGGAAGGAAAGGAAAGGAAAAGAGAGGAAAGGGAAGGCAAAGGCACAGGCAAAGAAAAACGTGGATGGGATTTATTTTGCAAATGGAAAGTATTGTGTCTTCTTTTTGAAAGAAGAAAAAGTCCCTTCGTTTTACAGGCCTGGACTCTGCCTATTTGAGATGCACTTTCATCTTAGACTCTTAACAGACAAGGAGACTAAGCTAGCCCTGTCTTCTAGGCTCCCATCTGTAGCTCAGGTTTAGCTCCTGACAAGGCCAGGCACGTGTGTGTGTGTGTGTGTGTGTGTGTGTGTGTGTGTGTGTGTGTGTTGGCGTGCACGTGCGTGTCTGCTGTGTGTATTTTTGAAAGTTTGAGGTGCTGCCATTCCTTTCCCACGCAGCTCAAAGCTTTGGGACAGGCGAGGACTCCAACCCTGAACGTAGAAATGCCAGCCTGGTTTCACTGCTTGGAAATTGCTGTTCAGGATCCCGGGTCGGGTCATTGGGATTGTCTGAACGGCATCCTGGTCTCATCAAGGGATGCCTTCCGCTGCTACAGGGTGGAGAGGAAGCATCCCTGCCGATTCAGTTCGGCAGATGAGAAGGTCTATTACAGTGTTTCTCAACCTTGACCATTTTAAGGCATGTGGACTTCAACTCCCAGAATTCCACAGCCAGCCATGCTGGCTGTGGAATTCTGGAAGTTGAAGTCCACATGCCTTAACATGATCAAGGTTGAGAAACATTGGTCTATAATATCCTGCCATTTGCTCCCCAACCCCAAGTTCATTCTGGCTCCCGGTTGCGAGGAGTCGGGAGACTGCGTTCACACGACCCACCCACCCACTTCAGCTACGTAAACAAGCCACAGTTCGGGCGGGGCCCTTCAGACCCACTTCCTCTTACAAGTTGCGGGATCCAGGATTGGAAGACCGAAAGAACAAAAATGAAAAATAAACCAAAGTATTCGGCCAGATCCTTCTCTTACTGCTTAATTTCTGCATCGCTGATGAAAAGGAGGCCACGAAGAAGCACCAAAGCTTTGTGTGTGTGTGTGTGTGTTTGTGAGCTTAAAGGATTCCCCCTCGGGCAAAAAGTGTGTTCCCCGGAAAACACACTCTGCTTTGCGTTCTTGATTTTTCCTTTCTCTTTGTGAAATCTCTCTCTCTCCCCCCCACCCTTCCAGCCTTTCCAGTCTAAACGAAAGTTTCCCACTTTGCTCCATAAACGTTACACCAACCGACCCTCTCGCCACATTAAAATACGGAGTGCCTTTTTATCTCGGTGGGCCAAAAACTCCAATGGAAACGCAAAGAAAGTATTTGGGCGGGATCCCCCAAAAGAGCCCGGGGGGGGGTTAATTTAATTCCAGGGAAATAATTTGGATTATTTATGACTCTGTAACTGAACTGTTCATTGTTATTGACTAAATAATAATTCCTGCAACTAATCCACTCCCCTAGCAATGCGCCGGCTTGAGGTTTCCATCTTGACCTTTTCGGAAAAGAACAGTCTCTCTCTCTCTCTCTCTCTCTCTCTCTCTCTCTCTCTCTCTCTCTCACACACACACACACACACACACACACACACACACACACACAAGAGGCGAGACAGATTGCACCACAGCATCACCCTTGCGTCTAAACGATAATAATTCCCCAGGAGTCAGACAAATTAATAATAATAATAACAACAACAACAACAACAACAACAACAACAACACTTGAACACCATTGGCATTGACAAATTCGCTATTAGTCAATTGCAAAAGGCAGCCTTATTAGGAACTGCTTCCATCCTGTGACGATACCTGTAATACCATCAAACATCCACATCTGCCTATCCCAGGTCCTGGGTAAGGACTCGATAGGTAGACAAATTGCCAAATCCAGTCTGAACATCTGGCTGACTGTGCGATGATCCAAAATAAATAAATAAATAAATAAATAAATAAATAAATAAATAATAATAATAATAATAATAATAATAATAATAATAATAATAATTCCTTACTAGGAACTGCTTCCATTCCGAGACGATATCTGTAATACCATCAAACATCCACATCTGCCTATCCCAGGTCCTGGGTAAGGACTCGATAGGTAGACAAAATGCCAAATCCAGTCTGAACATCTGGCTGACTGTGCGATAATCCATAATAATAATAATAATAATAATAATAATAATAATAATAATAATAATAATAATAATAATAATAATAATAATAATAATAATAATGATAATAATAATACTACAAAAACTGGATTACTCAGCAGCTGGGTCCACAAATATTTAAGACTACCTCCGGTTGGGTTGATGCCCCCCCCCCCGTCAGCTGCATCAGCCAGCCAAGATAAGATTTTTTTTCCTTTTACTTCTTTAATGGATACTACCGGTATTTGTAAATAAATGTCCTGGAGCAGGTAACGGGGAAAGAAAAAGAACCAAGATTGCCTTTACGCATGTACCACATCAGTTTACAATCCATTCCGCGGCCAGGCGGGGGCTGAAGATGCTGAAACTGGGGGGGGGGCGTCTCGCTCCAAGGGCCAAAGACCCTCCACGGTTTGGGGGGTGGGGGTCGCGGCTATAGCGTTCCCCCCCCCTTTAAAAAAAAAAAAACTAGTTTGCTTTTAACCTGGATATCCTGCAAGCGGGCCGCCTGGCCATCCAAGAAACCGTGGGAAACGTTGCCTTCTGCTGCCAGCCGAGGTCTTGCTTTATCCTCCGTCGGCTCGGCGGAGTAAAAGGCGGATCCCCGAGCCGAGAGAAAGACTCAGGATCCGGCTTGGCCACTGCGCCTCGAATTCAGGACGAGAAATCGGAGGAGAAAAGCGCAAGAGCAGCTGAAGGACGATGCCAGGTCGAGCCAAAAAAAAAGACCTCAAAGTCCAGATGGGACAAGAAGGGAACTGCGCAGGTGGGGATGATGGGGTGCCGGCCCCTTCTCTGCCCCCACAGCCCCCCGGGGTGGGGGGGCCAAGGCGGGCTGGGAACCCCCAACCCCCCCTCTCCTCCCCCAAGTCTCCAAGGGCGCGCGGATCGCTCCCCCGTCGCTTCGAGGGCTGCATTTTTTCGGAGGCCCCCCTGGAAAGTTTGGGGTGCCAAAACGGGGGGGGAGAACTAAGATCCCCCCCCAGGTAAACCCACCTGCCCCCGCCTTTCCTGCGGTCTGAAGGTTTCCCCCAGCCTAGCCCAGCCCAGCCCCGCGCAGGAACCCTACGGTAGCTCTTTCCAGTTTAGGATTCCGCTCAGCTTGCTCGTCGGGACTCCTTAGGATGCGCGCACCCCCCCCCCCCAGAGAGAGTTACACCCTCCAATTCGCTTCCCGAAGCTGCGGAGTTCGAAGCCCGGCCGGAGCCCGATTGGAAAAAGGGAAGGAGGGAAAGATTTATTGAGAGAGAAAAAAGAGGAGTGGAGGGGAGGGAAGGGGGGGGAGTTAAAAGACTTATGGAGGGGGGGGGGCGCGCGGAGGTGCGCGAAGAGGACCGGATTAGCCGAGCGGCGTCCGTGCGGGAGAAAGCTTGAGCGGGACCCCCCCCCCGCCTCCCCCGTTCGTCCCCTTCCAAGGACTTCTCTCTTGCTCCCTGCCTCAGTTTCCCCAGCTGTTCTGGAATAAGAGGCGGGTTCTCGAGGCGCAGAAATCCTCGCGGGTCGCCAATCCAGGCAGAAGGGGTTCCCCCCCCCCGGGGAGGAGAGCCGCCGAGCGGGCTGGAAAGATCGCCTCTTCCTTGACGGATCGCCCCCTTTTTTTTTTTCCAGCCCGACGGTAGACTGCCTCTAGACGTGGAGGTTCCACCGAGCTCCAGGTCAAGGAACGCCCGAGCTGGTTCTTGGGCCTGGGCTGAGGAACGTCCACCCGCCGCCCCCCACCCCCCCCCCCAAGGTCGGGCGGACCCCCGATTTTACCTGCTAAGCTCGGCTGCTGCTCGCGGGGGCGTCCGCAGGTCTCCGAGGGGGACGCATCCGGACCGCTTGGGCGCGCCAGCCCGCCCGCTCGCTGGATCTTCGGGCGCAACTGGCGGCCCAGGCTTGGCCCGGGGCTGCGCGCGCTCCGATCCGGAGCCCGGGTGGTAGCAGCAGCGGCGGCAGCAGAAGCGGCCTGCTCCGTTTGGCAGCCGGGAGAAGCGAGCTAGCGCCGCGCCCGTCCGCCCGCCCGCCGCCTCCCTTGCGCCGGGGGGGGGGGGAGAGAGTCGGGAATCTCCACGCCCTGCGCTGCTTCTTCTTCTTCTCTCTCTCTCTCTCTTTCTCTCCTCCCTCTCCGTTTCTCTTTCTCTTTCTCTCTCTGTTTCTCTCTGTCTCTCTTTCTCCTCCCTCTCTCTCTCCTCCCTTTCTCTCTTTCTCTCCTTCCTCTCTCTCTCTTTCTCTCTCTCTGTTTCCCTCTCTCTGTCTCCCCTCTCCTCTCTTTCTTTCTCTCTCTCTCTCCTCCCTCTCTCTCGCTCCTCTCTCTCTCTCTTTCTCTCCTTCCTTTTGTCTCTCTCTTTCTCTCTCTCTGTTTCCCTCTCTCTGTCCACCCTCTCCTCTCTCTCTTTCTCTCTCTCTCCTCCCTCTCTCTCGCTCCTCTCTCTCTCTCTCTCTTTCCTCTCTGTCTTTCTCTCTCTCCTCCCTCTCCTCCCTTTTTCTCTTTCTTTTTCTCTTTCTCTCTCTCTCCCCTCCCTCTCTGTCTCTCTGTCTGCCTCTCTCTCTCTCTCTCTCTCTCTCTCTTTCTTTCTCTCCTCCCTCCCTCTTGCTCCTCCCTCTCTCTCTTTCTCCCCTTCCTCTCTGTCTCTCTTTCTCTCTCTTTCTCTCTCTCCTCCCTCCCTCTCCTCCCTTTTTCTCTTTATTTTTCTCTTTCTCTCTCTCTCCTCCCTCTCTCTCTCTCTCTCTCTCTCTCTCTCTCTCTCTCTCTGAGGCGGACTGAAGGGACGACACCCACTGGCCAGGGTGACGTCACCGCCCCCACCCCCACCCCGACCGCGCTTCCTGCGAGAAGGACGAGAAACCCGCGCCGAATCCAAAACAGGCGATCCAAGGTGAGGGTACGGGGTGGGGGGGGGAGGGCCTTCAGGGCGTCTGCCAAAGAGCTAAAAACTTTGGGGAGGGCTCTCTCTCTCTGTGTGTGTGTGTGTGTGTGTGTGTGTGTGTGTGTGTGTGTGTCGAAGTACGGCTGGGTTGGGTTGGTTTCTCGGAACTGCGTTCACCCACCCCGCGCCGAAACCCGGAGTGGACTCCATCGGACGACGAAGCCAGCCCCCAAACGCCCCACGGTTAACTCTACACGGGGGCGTAACGCGTGTATCGCGCGAAGCTCACCGCTCGCTTTCCTTGACCTGGAAAATGCGTGTTGGGCGGAGGTATAAACGGACTTCGACACCCGCTCTGGCTCCCGGGTTCCCACGCCCCCGCCGCCCCTAAAACCTTCCAATTTGCAACACACCGGCAGTATTAGGTCGTACATTAAAAGGAAAAATAGAATTAACCTATTATCACGTAGCTATATATGCATACAGTGCGGCGCAGAGAGTCTGTTCTATTTTAGGGTATTTTTTAAAGGCAGCTTCCCTGCCGTCACCTTTGTCCTAATTTCAGCGGGTTACCTATGGATGGCAAGTGTTCAGATGGACAGGTTTTGTTGGGTTCCTTAATCCCTGGCCCGGCCGGATTAGAAGATTGCAAAACAGCGGAGTTGCCTCTATCTCGGTTGCCGGATCCTTTCTCCATCAAGTAACCTGCAAGATGCTTTGCTGGGGTTTCTTGGTGGTCTCCTATCCGAGCATCTACGCAGGGCGCCTTTCTCAAGGGTGGTGACTCTAAAATAGGGGGACCTCAACTCCCAGAATTCCCCAGCCAGCGTAGAATTGAAGTCCACCTATCGTAAATGTAAAACGCTTGCACCGGGCCCGTTTCTCCTTAGTTTCCTGACTTAAATAAGATCAGCCATTGGACAGCCATTTGTCCGAAATGGTATAGGGTTTCCTGCCTGAGCAGGGGGTTGGACTAGATGACCTCCAAGGTCCCTTAGAACATTATTATTATCATCATCATCATCATCATCATCATCATCATCATCATCATCTGAATTGTATCTGAATATTCAGACAAATGTACTCTTTTCCAAGAATGCGTCATTAAGAGCCTCATCCCTTTCAAACCCAGAAATATTGACCTACAAGTACAATCCGCGACTCCCCCCCCGCCCGAAGCTCAGCGCTTCGCCTTTAAGAAGACCCGCGGCTCAAGAGTTCCTTGCAAAGAAACGTGCAGAAAACGGCGCCCAAAATTTGCTTTCCGAGAGAAATCGCAGAATTGAATCCAGAAGCCTGTTTACTTTGGAGGAAATAGGCCAAGGACCGGTTGATTTCCAGCCTCCAGTAAAATACCCAAACAGCAAGATGCACGTCAATATGGATACTCTGAACCGGGCACTCCGATTGGGCGGGGGGGGGGCTAGACTAGATGACCTCCAAGGTCCCTTCCAACGATTCTATTCTATTCTATTCTATTCTATTCTATTCTATTCCATTCCATTCCATTCCATGCTATTCTATTCTATATTCCAATATCCATTCCATTCCATTCTATTCTATTCTATTCTATTCTATTCTATTCTATTCTATTCTATTCTATTCTATTCTATTCTCTTCTCTTCTCTTCTCTTCTCTTCTATTCTATTCTATTCTATTCTATTCTATTCTGTATCCTATTCTATATTCTATATTCTATTCTATCCTATCTTATCCTATCCTATTCTATTCTGCATCTTATTCTATTCTATTCTATTCTATTCTATTCTATTCTATTCTATTCTATTCTATTCTATTCTATTCTATTCTATTCTATTCTATTCTATTCTATTCTATTCCATTCCCAAATGTAAGATGTGGAATATTATGAATAGGTCTTGATTTCTGCTTCCAGGGGAAAAAAAATAAGAATAAGTCTGGAATTAGGAACATGAGATGGACAATGTGAATTGGTGCCCTCCAATACTGTTTGGACCAGCCCTGGTAGCCGAGACTGATGGGTAGCCGGGATATTTAACGTGCGCAAAGTCCCTATTCCTTAATTACAAGGGACGAGGAAATGGGGTGGAAAGCATTTACAGGCCGAGCCTGGATTGGAAAGTATTGTCAGGGAAGTGTGCAGGACCCTCTAAATACAATGTTTCTCAAACTTGGCAATTTTAAGGCATGTGGACTTCAACTCCCAGAATTCCACAGCCAGCATTGCTGGCTGTGGAATTCTGGGAGTTGAAGTCCACATGCCTTAAAATTGTCAAGGTTGAGAAACACTGCTCTAAAAGAAGGCAGCTGTCCGCAAGGAGTATAAATCCTTCCATTCCCCACCATCCAGTCAGAGCTGAAGAAGCTTCTTGGAGGAGAAGCGAAACGTCTTCAAAGGAAAAGAAGAAGAGTCCAGTTGCCTCCTGGAAAAAGCAACTTTGGGGCAACCAGGACCCGGATGACGGAGCATCTCCATAGACAAGTGAAACAGATGTTCCGTGAGTTTTGCTCCATTTTATGACCTTTCTCGCTCCAGTCGTTAAATGCATCGCTGCAGTGGTTAGCCTAGACAAAGCGTGCAGCAAAATCCAATCCTCGCTCGGAATCAATATTGGGATTTTTGGGCAGAATGGCCCCTAAAGCCAAGTTTACGAAACGCCCGGCTGTATTCTGGCAACATGCCACGGTAAG